AGGACGGAACAGGACACTCTCCCTGCTGCTGAGGGACCTCAGGTCAAGGGTGAAGCAGCTAAAGACCGTGGAAATGCAGGAACAGGCTCCACTCAGAAGCCTGGTGCCCCAGCCTGGGTACCCACTTACTGGGAAATTGAGGGTGATTCTGGACCCATCCTGGAGGCCTGGGCAGTGGTTGGCAAAAGCCTGACAACCCCCTCTGTGGCTCCCATAGCCACTTGCTTTTGGTGAGAACTGGAGCCAGGGTTCCCTACTGAATCTCTGTCCAAATGAGGGCTCTGTGCTATACGCCCTTGGAACAAACACTTTGGCCCCCAAGCCTCTGTGCTCAGGAAGCTCAAGGAGAACCTACAAAAGTTTCAGTTGCTCAGGAATCCTGGCTCCAGACTGATGTTAAAGGACAGATCCCACCATCCCTTAAGAGGGTGGAACCAGTGAATGCTAAAACTAATGTGTGAGAGGGTGATGGGAGCAGGATGTGCATATAGCCTCAAATTTTTCTGAACAAATTAATTACAAGGGAAAGTGGCTTTGCTGTGGAAAGCCTGGACATTACCAGGGATGGACAGGTAGGCATCTTGGCTCACTGGTAATCCACAAATGAACATAGTGACACCCTAATGAAAACACAGCAATAAAGTGCTTTTCCTGCCACAGACATGAGCTGAATCTCGTGGTAAGAACCATCACACCCAAATCAGGACACTCCTCCAAGTAACTGGCTGCATCTCTAAAGTACCAGTGCCATGAAAGGCAGTAAGAGGAGCCCAGGCTATGCAAGGCTGCTGCAGAAGGCAGAGTGGATGAGAGGATCATATCAGTGGTAATGTCCCAATCTTGGTTACTACACTGTGGTTATGTTAGTGCCCTTACCCTTAGAAAATACACACATGGCTTGGCGCCTGTGGCTCAAGCGGCTAAGGCGCCAGCCACATACACCTAAGGTGGCAGGTTCGGATCCCCAGCCTGGCCCGCCAAACAACGATGCCTGCAACCAAAAAATGGCCGAGCGTTGTGGCGGGCGCCTGTAGTCCCAGCTACTTGGGAGGCTGAGGCAGGAGACTTGAGCCCAGGAGTTGGAGGTTG